GTAGTTTAATTTTGATATACACAATGAATTAAATCTTAATACTAAATAAAGGGATACATTTAAATATTTCAATACAACCTAACAGTCATTTTTATATTGCTAAGTCGTTATCCAAACTACTTCTGGCAGTGTAATGAAGTGACCGACTGTATCCACAATCATATGTGGTTCTGTTGCACTTTCTTTTATGTGTGCTTACCTCTGGAACTGAGATAAAAGGGTTTAAGTATGTAATGCATCATAACATAGTTACTTGGAATAAGATTATTCTGTTTGGGATTTTAGCTCCACCACAAATGGCCACTCTAACATACCCATTTTGTCATCAGGAAAATAGGAATAATAACACTCCTGACACCTCTCGGAGTTGTTGTGAAGATTAAAAGAAATATTCCAGATGATAGCACTGAGCACATTGCCTGAGATAGATTATGGGCTCAGAAATGAAAACTAATTCTAGTTGGTTATCTGGATCTGGATATCTAGATACAAAAATCTAGCCAATAGTCAGAAATGGATAGATTTAAAAAACTGAACTGTGACAGCCTCAAAACAAGTAACTGGTTACAGGCACAAGAAACAAATGACTAGTCCTCAGGAAACAATACATACTATTTAAGTCAAGTGAAGGAAATAGTAAAATTTTCATGATAGCCTGAAAAGATCATTGATATTTTCATTGGTGCATTAGATTATTTTGAAGTAATAAGCTGGTAAAATATACCAACAAAATATTTCAAATAACTTGAAGTTACTGAGGTAGGATTCTAGATGAAGAGAAACTTTTGAAAAAGTGACCTGAACAGGAATGTAAAAATAGTAACTGCCACGTCCAAGAGGGCACTGAGGTTAGTCGGGGATGAGTAAACCCCACTTTATTACAACCACGTCTCTATAAACACATGATTTCCTTAACACGTTTCTTCCTACCTTTACTAATTAATGAGATTTAAGCATAATGTTATAGATATTAGATCTCTTAATAAATTCATAGATGGAAAGGATTTCTCTGATTTTAAATTTGTTTTCAATGTACAACATAATGGTGATACGTCTCTTTTGGTAGGTGTGATAGTCTTATGTGTCAACTTGGTTAAGCTATGGTAGCCAGTTATTTAGTCTACTAATTAAGGTATTCCTGTGAAGGTATTTTGAAGATACAGTTAATATCTACAGTTGGATAACTTTAAGTAAATGAGATCATCCTCAAAAATGTGGGTGGGCCTCATCCAGTCAGTTGAAGGCCTTAATAAAAACTGGTTTCCCAAAGAAAAAGGAATTCTGACTCAAGACTGCAAGGATACAATATCCTGCCTGCATTTCCACCCTACCAGGTTGCCCTACAAATTTCTGATTTGCCAGTGCCTGCCACTGCATGAGCCAATTCTTAGTAATAAATTTATATATATATCTGTGTTTATATATCTTATTAGTTCTGTTTCTCCTGAGGTCCCTGATTGATACATTGATACATTTTCTACAGGTTATTAACACTAACTAAGCATTGTCATTAAGAGTTCCTTTAGTTCTCTGTTATAAACTTATTTATTTTATTTATTTATTTGAGAGAGAGAGAGAGAGAGAGAGAGCATGCAAGTGCGGGGGGGAGGGACAGAGGGAGAGAGAGAATCTTAAGCAGGCTCCACGCTTTCATGGGGCTGGATCTCACAACCCTGAGATCATGCCCTGAGCTGAAATCAAGAGTCGGACACTTAACCAACTGAGTCACCCAGGTGTCCCTAAACTTATTTATTAAAATGTAGTCATAATGCATGGCATACAGAAAATTCAATTAAATTAACAGGTGTGAGGGCCTGGGTGGCTCAGACGGTTAAGCATCTGCCTTCAGCTTAGGTCATGATCCCAGGGTCCTGGGACAAAATAAATTAATTAATTAATTAACAGGTGTGGATCTATCAGTAAATGAAAAGTATTGGGCTTTATGTTGGTTTATAACATATATATTATAAATTGTATTATTATTATATCATTATATGTAATGAAGTCACAATTCCTGTCCTTGGTGGGGAAAAGATCCACATGTAACAGTTGAGTAGGATTAAATTAGTGTTTTGATAGAGGTATTCATGGAATGACAATTCAGAGACCAGAAGTAATGACTCTCTATGACTGGAGTACAGCACATTTGGGAGAACGTGGGGGGAAATGAGGTTGGATGGGTGGTGGTAGCTGGATATTAAAAGTTGTTAAATACCAAACTAAAGTGTTTGAATTGAAATTTGTGACAGAGCATCAAGGATGTTGAGTGGAATTTTTACATCATCTGAAATGCTGTTCCCCAGACAACTCTATGAAAGGAAAACTGGTCAGGCAGGAAATTAGAGGCAGGGGGTCGGAAAACCTCAGAATAGCACATAAAACTTTCAAGTTTTAAAAACATGATGCTTTGGGTTGTGACTCACAATATTGTCATCTCAATATTATTGTAAAAGTCGATAGTCTTACCACATAGACTTCGGTTCTAAAAATAAGCATAACCTTAAAATTATTATTCTTAAAAAGAATAAGAATAAGCATTCTTCAAAATGTTTATAGAAATTACAAATAAATAACTAAATACTTTTTAGTATTTAGGTGGGAATGGTTATGAATTACAAATAACTAAATATTACAAATAACTAAACTTTTATCAATATAGAAAACACACTTTTTAAGAAGAAAAAAATCAAGCAAATAAAAAAGCAGGCTATACATTTGCTTTTAACTTTATAGAAAATATTTTTAATGACAAATATCTTAACATATACAGAATTCATTTATTAGACATTTACTAAGTACTTACCTCCTATATGATGGGCATGGTGAAGCACTGATGGATGCATTTAAAAGTGACAAAATTTTCAAGGAATTTTGTTTAGACAGGGGTCATACATATTGTAACTATGGCACTTCTCATGATTTAGAACAAAATAGTAGCTTGTCTTTTAATTGATAAGTATTTTGGATGGTAATTTTGGATCAGACAGAAATCATGTCTTAATAAGTTTTCAATTAGCAATAATCGCGCCTCAGATAAACCTCATTGGCTACGATACTGCCACTGCGCAAAGCTAATCATGTCTTAATAAAAAGCTTAAAAATTAAAGTAAATGTTATTCTCAAAGATAAAGTAAAAGAGAAAAGCATTTCTTATAAAGCTTCATAATAAGAGTAGATACATGGAACTTCAGATCATATTGGAAGGAAAGATGATTCCCCAAAAGCCATTATCTTATGTGTTTCTTATTTTCTCTCATCAAAAAATAAGAATGAAGAATTATTAGATTACGGATTATTGTCAGAGTCTGAAAGTATTAGCTGGCAACTACCCTTATATTTAAGAATTTTTTAAAATGCTGGACAAAACATGAAAAATTGTATGAGGACAATGTAGAGCCTATAGTTTTAAATGGTATATAGAAAAGCACCTAGAAATTTTATATCGAAAAGTTTAACTTTAACAGTAGAGATATCCAGGGTAAAAGATACAAAGTTAACCAGTAAGCACTCATGAGAACATTTACAATAACCAGCATGAGTCTGCACAAAATAAATCCTATCATTTTTCCCATATCTTTTTATAAAAGACAGTGATCTCAATGGTAGTGTGTGAGAGAGAATGAGAGTCAACTATAATTTATTTTGTGATAATATTTTTTTTAATACTACTTCATTTGACAACTCTCAAAAAACTAGGAAATAAAATATAGATAACACTATTTATATAGGCTAATACAATTAGTAGGATATGGTTTTCATATTACAGGTAATGACCCATTAGTGGATTTTGAAATCAATTTTGTGGGTCGAGACCTGTATTAAAAAAATAAAAAGAATAACAGAAAAGAATAGGACACCATAGAAAGAAAGAGGAAATAGAAGATAAGGATAGTATTATGTCATAAATAATCCTTTTTTTTTAGGTGTGTGTGTCCGGGGATGAGATATGAAATTCATAACTTAAAACAGATTGTGGATGAGAAAATGTTTCAAAAACCTGAGCCATAGGGTCACACTCAGAGAATGGTCATCAATGTGTATCACTGTCAACCTTAGGTGGACTTCCACGGGAGAGTTCCGCTGGGGTCAGCGCTGGGTACAGGGGTATTTTAGTATCTTGTCTATGTCCCAGATAATGGAAAGTAGAACACATTTAAGTCACTTGTGATGTCCAATATGGAGATGATATAGTACCAGAATCTTTAACAGAGAACTGAGGTTTCTTATCACCTTTTAGGCATTGATCCACTTATCCAAATGCAGTGTATTTTCAAGTTCTGACTACATATTGGGAAGGATGCAAAAGCTACACATTTTTCATTTTCTAAAAATAAGGCAGTGTTTCATAGGATTTGCAACTGGGTCAAACCTTTTAAGGATTTTAAAAATGGTGTCTAATTTATTTATTTATGCGCTGATGAAAAAAATGATAAACAAATGTATACAGATTTTTACATTTAAAAACTTTTTCCAGAACATGTAACTGGAATCATAAGCAATTATATTCTGATCTCAATACTATGTACTATATACAGGTAGAGCTCTGGGAATTTTTAAAATTAGCTATTATATTAATTTCAAAGAGGTTAAAATAATGTGCCCTATATATCACTAAAAGGTTTTAGTTGTCTTCATGGTCTCTTATTACTTCCATGTTACTATGGAATGTGATATTAGATTGAATGATTTACACTGTTGAGATCATAATCGATCTTGTTATTGCTCTCGTGGCTGCCTTTTCAAAGAATAAAACACTTCTTGGTTGAACAAATACAGGTCCTGATATAACTCAGTGTTATATTCTTCACTTGAGACTTTGATGTAAAGTTCTTAGCAACGTATTATGATAGCTCAATGGAGACTCTTTCCACTGTATCTTTTTCCTCACTTCCTTGGAGGTAAATGAGAAGAAAACGCCTTTCATTTGTGGAGTCATGGTAACATATAATTTCACTGCAGTCTGGTACACTGGAATAAATATCTTGTCTACTTCCACTTACCTTGCTACATGATTAATTACAGGAGCAAAGTTAGTCGGCCCATATAGTTGCACAGATTTCAGACTCCTATAGTAAGCCTCCATGACCCCCTCAATGCCATCACAGTAGGGGTTTTGAGGGTTCCCATTCTGTGGAATTGACAGGTAAAAAAGAGTAAAAATTAGTAGTGTCTGCAAAGATCAACTGAAAAAGAGAAAAGATAGGTTGACACTCAAAGATGTTTTAAAGAATAGTCATTTATTTAAGAGCAAAAAAATAAAGTGATCAACAATACATTACAATATATTATAAAAACTGTGATATGATGAATCTAATATATAAGCATTAAAAATTGATACTCTTCAAAAGAACCACAGAAAACTCTAAAGAATCTTGAGAAGCTGAATACCATAACATTCTATAATTAATGTCTTCATTTGCATATGTCTATGTATGTGTAGAGATGAACATATAAAAACCCTGAAAAGAAGTAAATAAAATATTAACAGTGGTTAACTCGGGGTGGTTACATATAATTGGTGACTTTTATTTCATTCTTTAAACTATTCAATATTTCCCAACTTTTCTGCAGTGACATCTATTAAAATCAAGAAAAAAAAAATCACTATCCATTCAGTTTTACCTTATAGAAGGCAAAATACAAAATATCTGCCACGTGCACATTTTCAGGTCACAACTGATAACCCCAAGGAGAGAAGGGGTCTGAGGGAATGTAATTTGGTGCAAAAATTATCAAGAGAAGGTAAAATGAAAAGAATCAAGGAAACATTCATGTTGTCCACGAGAAATGGAGCTTGCCACTAAGTTCTTATTCGGGAGAAGGCACCTAGAAGGGCAAGTTCATACCTGGAGACCTAGACTAGTTTTTTCATACCTTGAATGCTTTGTTATTATTAAGTTCAGTTCTCCTAGTCCAGATCTTGCAAATGACACATATAAGGCAGTGTATTTGTTATCTATTGCTTTGTAGCATATCACCCCAAAAGTTAGTGGCTTACAACAGTAATTGTTATCTCAAACATTTTTTGGGTGTCAGCAGCCGCTTAGCAGGTGGTTCTTGCTCAGCATTTCTCATGAGTTTGCAGTCACTGTGCCAACCTGGGCATCTGAGAGCTTGACCAGAGCTGCAGAACCTGCTTCCAGGAAGGTTCACTTACATGGCTGCTGGCAGGAGGTCAACGTGGTGTCTCTATAGGGCTGCTCGAGTGTTCTTACAACATGGCCACTAACTTCCTCAGAATGAGCAATCCAAGAGAAACAACAAAAAGGAAGCCCCAACACCTTTTATAAGCTAGTCCCATAAGATGCACACCAATATTCTACTTTAATCTCTTTGCTAGAAATGTATCACTAAGTATAGCCCATGCTCAAGGGAAAGGGAATTAGACTCCACCTCTGGAAGGGAGGAAGGATAAAAAAATGTAGATATATTTAAAACACTAGAGACAGTAATTATATTTAAACAGAGTTAACAGTAATTTCAGCATGCATGTTTTTATCTGAACAATCACAAATGACCAGTAATTTGTAAATAAAATTTGTTGAATTCTATATACTAAGCTTTACATTAAAATATTTACACATATTAGATAGTTTTTATAACAACCCTAAAAAAGTAGATAAAATATTGTCATTATCCCCACTTTATAAATGAAAAAATTAAGGCACTGAGAGTTCAGTGTGTCCCAAAATTACAGAACACAAATGAGAGGGCCAGTATTTGAACCCTCAGTTTAAATTCAGAGCCTAATCTCTCTCTTTTTTTAAAAAATATTTTATTTATTTATTTGACAGGGAGAGCATGAGCACAAGCAGGGGGAGAGGCAGAGGGAGAGTGAAAGGAAGAAGCAGACCCAAGCAGTAAGCTCGATGTGGGGCTCAATCCCAGTCTCCTGGGATCATGTCCTCAGCTGAAGGCAGACACTTAACTGACTGAGCCACCCAGGCACCCCTAGAGCCTAATCTCTTAACCACCACCATGCCACCATGCTTTGAAATCCTAAGCATTTTGAAAGACAAGAGATCTTAGGAAACCAAGGCAGATGTTATCAACCACTTCAATTTTGCCATTTGTGTGAGAGGGATATATACCCACTTTTTCCTTCTAATTTTGTCTTTTATTCAAATTTTTTAAATCAATTGACCATCATGCAAATTTTTAAAAACATAAAAATAACAAAAAGCCTCTTACATAATAATAAAGACATTTTTAGTTTTATACTACAAAATTGGTCACATTAATTGATTGAAATTATAATGTAAAAGTTTAATATTTAGCACAAAGCAGTTAATGATTGCTTTTGATGTTAATCTGAACTGAACCTTCCTTTAAATAAAATTTTACAGTGCTCTTTTCCCTTGACAAGATATGAAACTAATTAAAATTAAAACTCATTATTGATTTTGAACATATAGAAATGTATTCTATATCTGCCTTAGGGGAAGAAATACAAATCAGGATAGTTCTGAGCAACTTTTTCATCATCATTTTAACATTTTAATTAAGGGTTTACATTTCTAGAAAATAATATACTTTCTCTATTCCTGTGGAACTGGAATTACAACAAGTTCACCATTTTTCTCACCATTTCATTTCTTAGTGGAAAGATAATCATTAGATGTTCTATTCATCATTACGGAATATTTAAAGCACTGATTTCTCCATTAGCCCTAATTCCATAATAAATTGCTCTAAGAATTCCTCATATGCTTTGGATGATAAGAATACTTAGGACATAAAATTACACATTCTTTTTAATATATGCTTTTCATTATATCAGGATTATTTAAAATAATTTACAGCTATTAAAATGAGATTTTCCTCTTAATGACAAATTGTAATGAGTTATAAAAAGATTTTTTAAGTCTAAAAACTCATTTCACAAAATAATTATGTGTGTTAGTTACTAATTACTAACAAGCAATTAGCTTTTACTTGTTAAAACAAATTAAAATAAGCTTATGTGTGACTCTAGCACAAAAGTAAAGCACAGGATATTTTTGAAAGTAAGTACATTCAATTTTGTTGTTTATTAATGAAGAGGGCAGCAGATGCCCTATTTTATATTTCCATTTTAATTAGCAACCTTTCCCATTTATAAAATAATTAATGTTATTTTGTAGAACACATGGAACATAAAGAACAGAATTCAAAATGAGCACTAATCCCACCACGCAGACTTAAGTGGGGAGGGATGTCCGTCTCTCACCAATTTTTCCCTCCATTTGGCTCCCTGAAGACTTGTACTGAGGATTTAGATTCAGTTCCAAGAGAGAAGACTATACAGTCTCTGTTGCTGCCTAGAGCCTATAACACTTCTCAGCAGGGCTAACAAGCTGACAAAATGCTGAAGAGAAGCTCTAAGGAGTTGTCACTTTACTCTTTGAAATGGATCCGTTGCTGCCCAGAGATTGCTTAGGTGGAGAAAAGCTGCAAGTCTCCCTTTTATTCAGTAAGCAAACATCTGTTGAGCTTCTATTTTATGCATACAATGTTAAGACCCTTGGTTGTTAAATCATTAGCATCTAGATGGAAGAAAAGACATACATATCAATATTAAATTGCACAGATTTCTATAAATGCCAAAATAAGCGAAAAGTAGGCCAGCCCTTTTAGAGCTCTAGTAGGAGAAATCACTTGGACAGATGTAAGCACTTCTCTATTGATCACTGCAGGAGACTTTCTTTAAAGGGTCATTGGCCCCATGCCCATTACGAGTATCTCCTCTGATGCTCTACACTATTATTATATTTTGTTATAACAACTTAAGGAGTCCTCAGACTCATAATGGGAAGAGAGCAATGACTCCCTTTTACAACCTTTGTGCTAACATGGTGGTACCAGGACATTCTTTCTTTCTTTCCTTTTCTATTCCCTGTTCTTTTTCCACTATGGAATATATGTATATGCTTATTCATATTTCATAGGAAAAGCTGGGGTTTATCGGCAACCCTTTTAAGTAACAGCAAAGAAAACATTAAAAATTACATTTTTCTGTTCAACTTTCAACATTTGCGCTAGCCCTAAATTCACCAATTAGGGTTTATTTAATTTTTTAGAAGGCCTCCTTTGCTATCTGAAGATTATTTGAACTTGGTTTGATAAATAAATATTTATGACTCTGTATCACAAATTGTTACCATGAAAATATGAGGGTTTGTTAGGATTACAGACTACACTAATTGCCAGACTGACATGGGACTGGTTTTCCTATTTGCCATTTCAGCACTTATAGGTATATATTGCAGTTGTTTAGGATGAGGTTAACAGAAAACTGTAGCAAAAAATCAAATCAAATACTGTCTCACTGAAGACCTACTTAACTCCTCTGCCTTATTTACCCAAGAAAAAAAAAGTGCTTTGAAAAAATTAATTGGTTAGTGCTGTTAAAGTTCATTCATTATCATCATCGTTGTTTTCAGCTTCAATTTGGGAGACTATTTTTCATAACCTTAAAGGGGTATGATCTCTATCCTATAAGTATTTGAACTGGGTTCAAAGAATTGTTTAAGATGCAAATAATAATAAAAAATCCTTCCTTGGCAATAGATATTTGCATAGGTTTTTTTAATAAGAAATGAATCTGGATGTAGGAAAAGCAGAAAAATAGAGGATTAGAGAGAGATAAAAGGAAAAAATCACACACAAGGGTGAGAAGAAGTGTATGGAAGGAAAAATTAATAAACCTCATTTAGTTTAACATAATTATTCCTTTTCTTAAGCTTTAAAATAGCTCATGACCTTTTTCCTGAGGCACTTAAGACTTAGCATCACATGAGTGACTTTCATGGTTTTCTAAGTTTCCGGGAAATTTTAATTCTCTAAGACACAACAAAATCCCAATAGATATTCATTTTTATATGACATTGGGAAAGTGGCATGTGGGCTAATTCATGGAAAAAAGAATTAAAGCCTCCAGCAACCTTTCCTGCAATTGTGAGCGCACTGGAATAGAAAAGCAAGGATAAGTATAGAAATGAAGATGTAAAAATACTGCTCTTAAAAGATATTTAAAGAAGTTTAAATCTAATCATATATAAGTTCTGGATGTGTGTGTGTGTGTGTATCCTGATCAATATCATACCATGGTGTTAATAAAGCACATATTCGAGAGGTGGGATTGATTATAGGTACTGTTATAAAATGTGCTTTAATAGCAGTTAAAGAGCATGTATTCTAAAATAAGACTGATCTGGGTTCAAGTCCTGTCCTCTGGAACCCTGGTTAACTGCTGCTCTGCTGCTGAACTGAAGTATACAACACTTGGGCAGGCACTCTTCACTGTATTCAATATGTGTGGCACTTGCTAGAGTAGTGCTATGTGATAGTCATAGAAACTTTATGAAGATTATGTAAGAAAAGAATTGTAAAGTATTTGGCTTCATACTCAGTAACTACTCAATAAATGGTAGTATTATTGTTTATTTTTGTCTGTTTTGCTTGAGAGCTTCAAAAAATATCTCTATGATTATGCATTGCTTTTGTAACAAGAATAAAAACAACAAAGGCCTTCAAAAATAATGGGGATGGAAGAGGTTACTTCTGAAATGTATAGAGGGTAGGAAGGCACTTCTAATGAAAAGCTAAAATTTTTCCAAAATGATAGCCAACCATTCCTATATTGATTTTCCCATTATTTTATCAGAAAGTGCAGGGAGAGGGGCGCCTGGGTGGCTCAGTTGTTAAGCGTCTGCCTTCAGCTCAGGTCATGATCCCAGGGTCCTGGGATCGAGTCCCACATCAGGCTCCCTGCTCGGCGGGAAGCCTGCTTCTCCCTCTCGCACTCCCCCTGCTTGTGTTCCTGCTCTCACTATCTCTCTCTCTGTCAAATAAATAAATAAAATCTTAAAAAAAAAAAAAAAGAAAAGAAAGTACAGGGAGAGTAAGGCTCACTGGATCTATAAGCATTATCTGTATGGGGTTTATTTTGAAGGTAGAATGCAGTACACTGCTTATCTAAAATCACACAATATGAACTAGATCTATGTAAAGTAAAGATGAACTAGATAAATATTTATTCCAGTCATATCTACTCCATTATATTGAAATCATAATTAGCTATTGCCATAATTATTGCTTCACATTAAAAAAATAATTCTAGCCATAACTATTCCTTTATATTTGAAAAGATATGCCATTTTCTTAGATGGTAGATTAAAACAGCCACACATTCTTTGAGATAGCCTCCCACTGAGAGGTGAAGGTTCCTTGGAAACTGGGCTGGCCTTAGTGACTTGCAAAACCAAGAGAATTTAGCAAGAACAACTTTCTGAGGCTTCTGATGCTATGGTGTAAAGAAACCTACAGTTTCTGCCCCAGCCTGTTAGAGAATACTCACTCTGGGGAAGCTGGCTGCCATGTATGAAATCTGACTACCAAGACATGGCCATACTGTGATGAGGTCCACGATAACCACATGGACAGGTTGTAAGTAGAAAAAGGGAGAGATGTCCAGGCAACCCAGCTATTTCAGTCATCCTATCTTGAGCATCAGACAAGAGCAAAGCCATCTTAGGGGACATGTTAACCCCCCGAGATGTGACATGGAGAAGTACTGAGTCATCCAATCCACAGCAAAATGAAGCCCAGATATATGGTTCTAGTTGAGTAATTCCAGCCACCTCTAGCCAATCAAGCCATCCTAGGTAAAGTCCTAGACATCTTGAAGAAATAAACCACCTCCTATTGTATTGTGCTCAAATTCCTGAACCCCAAATCTTGAATATAATGGCCACATGATTGACTACAGCATAAGTAGTAAACCAATATTAAAAGATCCAACAAATTATTTTTTTTCAAGAGATCAAATCCTTGTGATATATTCTTACCAAAGCAAATTCATGAGATATCCTTCCATCTGGAGGCAGTTTTGCACCAAAGCCTAGAGCTGGGAACATTTTATCACTGTCATAATCTTGAACGATTTCTCCCACTGCTTTCAGTGCCATTCCATAGGCATTCAGTTGGTAAGGATTCATGTAGTGGAGAGAAGTGGGCTGGGCAGGGTTGCCTGATGACAGAAAAAAATATTTCAAACATGACTGATCAGGCTAAAGATGTCATTTTTTTTGACAACATTTTTCTTGATGCCTCTTTCAGAATGAAATACTTAAAATTATGTTTTCTGCCTACATCCATACTGTCTAATAATTTCTTTTGGATGGAGATTAACATAGAAATATTTATTACATTATATCAGACATGTAGAAGGCTTTCCAAAGATATGCCAAAGCATATGCAGATTTTTTCAGAAATTATTCCTCATTGTCAATGCCACAGGCTATTTCTGAATCTCAGTTACAGAAGAAGTATTAAAGTACTTTTGTTAAACTGATTTTATAGTCATCTTTATCTAAAAAAAAAAAGCATATGCCTTTAGCTTGAACCCTTATGTTTATAATTAGAGAACTACGAAGGCTTCCCAAAGTTCTATTACAAATATAAATGGAATATTTTAGAAATATCTCAATTTAATCACTTAAAAAGGAAAGCATAGTGATTTTCAAATTCAAGCTAATTAAATATCTATATCTGAAAAAGGATTCAGAGTTTCTAACTAGACATTAAACGAGGAGCCAGAAGGCTCAAAGTCCAGTCTTGCAATTTCCAAGACAACACCTATAAAATGTCTGCAATAAATCCTACCAGTGTTAACTGGAAGGACAAAATAAGATTATGTATGTGGAAGTGATGAAAAATAATAAAGCACCATAGAAATGTAAGGTTTAATTGCTACTGTTATTACTGTCTGGGTCAGCCACAAGGTTCTGAAATTTCAATATACTTATACTATGTAAGATGTTGCATTTGAATAGAGATGAATTTGAGAGAGAGAGTAATATAAGTGCTACCACTCAAAACACATTGAGATTCACATTAAGTTGCCCTAATTACCAGCACAAAGGCTGCTTGAAAGTCCATATACTTTCTTAAGTGAAAATGGAAAGTTAAATGGGACTTGTAATAGCATATAAAGCTCAATTCTATATTAAAACATTGCCTGAAGGAGGAAAGCCTCGGGGCACACAGTTCTTTTCTGATAAAAAATAATAATAATAATAAGCACTTGAGATCCAGAGAGAAACAAAATTAAGGAGCGATCTCCCCTTGGTTTACAATACATATAATTATACACAGAACATTTCTAGTCTAAAAATAATGCATTGCATAAATGCATTTATATTTCCAAAGGGTTACCGGCATTTAAGGGCTAGTTCCACATGACAAAATTTCTGAAAAAGTTATCTTCTGACCAAATGGCCTTAACATTCATTCCCCTCAATTTGGCTGAACTTTGGAAAGGTTTCTTCATAACTGTAGGCCCCTGATCTTCCTTTTCTTAGAGCATTTGCTTTAGAAAACTTGCAATTGTAAATTCTTTCTCTGTACCTTTGAAATGTAAATCTTCTACAACCCAGGGCTGTTTATCTCCAGGACCTGGGAGCCCTCCACGAAATGTAATCATGGAGAAAGATCGCACTCCTGTCCCCTAGTCTCTTTGCGAAAGTAGGAGCCTAACTTTAATAAGTGCTAATTAGTAAACAGAACAATGTCCCCTCTAATGTCCCTCAGCATTTTCCATTAGATCACGGCAGTACTTAAAATCCCTCCCACCTTTTGTTTTGGAGGTGTTGGGTTCAATTTTTCCCTTATATCGCAATAGCCTTGACTTCTGTGGCAACAGTCCTGATTAAAGTCTTCCTTGTCTGTTTAAATTATCTGGTGCAATTTTTCAATGACACTCTCTTCTAAAGTCAGAATTTTGCACTTGATCAAAAGCCCACTGGAGCCACAGGGGGGCAATATCATTACTTGACTAAGTGGTTATTTAACATAACTTTCAAATATAAGAAGAATTATTACCCAATGGCTGCAATATGGCAACAAAGTCTATTTTATTAAGAAAACTGTAACTTAAAATTGAGATACAAATATCATTCATATCCCAGTATGTCTAAACATCTTCACCTATCATGCATAGCAGGGCTGGATCCCACCCATGCAAATATGTTGCCTGTCTCTTTCCAGCATCTTCATCAGACCATCTCTTCACTGTATCACTAATGAGATCTTCCTTCCTATCTCTACATCTCAAGTAGCCTCCGTGTCCTGGAAGTCACTTTACTCTCCTCCAGCTTATGTTTTACTTGCACCAGACAGCCTTCCTTGCTTATTCCAACCCTTATTGTCTTTCCTCTCTTACTTTTAGGACTCTTGTGCTCTGCACCACAAAATATGGCAGTTAAAAATCTGCCACATTGACTGTCCATTCCTAGAATCTGGGACCACATCTGTGCCACCTCTGTATATGCAACAATGCATATGAACAATGAATTTGTGGTAAGTTGATAACATTGGGACCCAACAATATCCATGATAATTATAATAGCATGGGATCTAACATGTACTGAACACCTTACTTCATATCTTTCTTAACCTTTCAACAAACCTATGATGTACTTTTTTATTTTACCCAATTTTCAGATTAAATACTTTACTCCTAATCACACTGTAAAAGTTGGTAAAACTAGAATGTAAATCTAGGCAATCTGATTCCATAGCCCTTATTCATAGCTAGAACTCTATACTTAAGATTTTGTATTATTTTAAACACTGGATATCATCAAACTTATATCTGATTTTGTCTTAGACGTACATTATGCCTTTATAAAAAAAAATCACACATGACTACACTCTTTTTAAAAAGTTTTATTGAGATATAATAAGATATAACTTACAATTTAACCATTTAAAATGTACAAGTGATTTTTAATATACTCACAGATATGTACAACCATCACTTCAATTTTAGAACATTTTTATCACCTCAAAGAGAAACCCTGTACCTCTTCACTATCCCTCCCTTATCACTCCATCCAGCCCAGCTCCAAATAATGATTAATCTTTCCATCTCTATTAATTTGCTTATTCTGGACATTACATATAAATAGATTCACATAATATGTCATCTTTTGTGACTAGCTTCTTTCACTTAGCATAATGATTTCAAGGTTCATTTATGTCATAGCATGTATCGGTAATTCATATTTCATTCCTGTTTATTGCTGAATAGTATTCTCCTGTGTGAATATACTACATTTTAAAATCATTTGTACATAGCTATCCTGTTGTCACAGCTTTGTTGAAAAGACCATTCTTTCCTCATTGAATTGCCTTGGTGCCGTTCTCAAATCAGTTAAACTTAGACTCATGGGTTTATTTCTGGAATCTCCACTCTATTTCATGGCACTATATATCTATCTTTACACCAGCACCATGCTTTCTTGGTTACTGTTGCTTTGTAGCAAGTTTCAAAAATGGGAAGTAAGAATATTTCCACTTTGTTCTCTCTTTTCAAGTCTGCTTTGGCTCTTCTAGATCCACATGAATTTCTGGGGCATCCATTTATGCAAAACAGGCCTTTCAGATTTTGAATGAGATTGCACTGAATCTGTTGATTGCTTTGAGAAATGTTGTCCTCTTAACAGTTGAATTTTCCAATCCATGAAAATGGCATATCTTTCCACTTATTTAAGTCTAATTTCTTTCAAGAATTTTTTTCAGAATATAGTTTTTATAGTATAAAGTTTGCACTTTGTTAAATTTATTTCTAAGTATTATATTCCTTTAACTACTACTGTAAATGGAATTTTCTTAATTTCATTTTCAGATTGTTAACTGAAGTGTATAGAAAAAGACCTTATTTTTATATATTGATATTTTATCCTTCAATCTTGCTAAGCTCATTTGTTAGTTTTAATAGATTTTTAGTGAATTCTTTGGGATTTTATATATATATATATATGATTATGTCATCTGCAAATAGAAATAGTTTTACTTCCTTCTTTTCAATCTGGATATTTTTTATTTCTTTTTCTTGACTAACTGCTATGCCTACAACTTCCAGTACAATGTTGAGTAGAAGTGGCAAAAGCAGACATCCTTGCCCTATTTCTCATTTTAGGGGGAATGCATTAAGCTATGTTAGGTATGGGTTTTTCATATTTTCCCTTCATAAGATTAGAAAGTCAACTTCTATTTCTAGTTTGTTAAGTGTTTTTATCCTGAAAATGTGTTGGACTTTGCAAAATGCTTTTTTTCTGCACCAATTGACAGGACTATGTGATTTTTACATTTTCTTCTATTGATACGGTAAGTTATTTGATTTTTGAATATTAAGCCAACCTTGCATTCCTGAGATAAATTTTACTTCCTCAGGGTGTATAATTTTCTTTTTAAGTTGCTGGATTCAACTTGGTAGTGTTTTATTGAGGATTGTTATATCCATATCCATAAAAGATATTGATCTTTAGTTATTCTTTTCTTTGTCTAGTTTTGGTATCAAGGTAATACTAACTTCGTATGTTGAGTTGGGAAGTTTTCTCTCCTCTTCTATTTTTTGGAGGAGTTTGTGAAGAATTTATATCTGTTCTTCTTTGGTAGAATTCACCAGTGAAGTTTATCTGGACCTGGACCCAGATAAACTTTGTGGATAGTTTTTTTATTATGAATCAATCTCTTATTATAATAGGTCTATTCAGATTGTACCTTTTTAAGTCAGTTTCAAGAGTTTGTGTCTTATTATTCAATAGATTTTTGCTCTTCTAGTTGTTATGCTAATATTCATCAGTGAACAAAAGCTAGTATTTTAGCCCATTTAGACTTTAGGTTTTATTTCTATATTTCATATTTTACTGAATAAAATACATGAATAAAATTAATTAACTTGAAGTCAAAGTGTTGGAGAATATACTTAACATGAAACCAAAGGTGAGTTAAATTAGATTTCAATTTACTCATCTCTGTTCTTAACTCTAGTATTAACAAGCCAAGATGTAGTTAGTAAAATGATTTTCTGGATATGAGTTTCCTCATTTGTATAAGAGGATGGGTTGGAGTAGTGATCGCTAAGGTTCTTCCTTACCTAAAAATTCTATTACTTTGTAAAATGTGACTCAAAGTGCAAGAAATGTGAGGTAAAGAGAAAATAATGTGAGAGCTATAAGCACAATAAGTAATTTGGGGAAAAAACTGATAAATATAACGGATGGCAAATTCTGGTAAAAATTAAACAATGAGATTGATGTTCTTATGATACATAATAACTCAATTCAAATGATCCGTTTCATACAATGGTACTTCAAAATAAAATTTTAAAAAGTTCACTATCTTTTCTTTCTTGAAATGTTTGATAAACAAATTATGAATATCTATACATGGGATATTATATGATAATCCCCCTTAATTAAATATAAATGTGTTAAAATGAGTAATTCTTAAAAATAGTCAAGTAAAAATGAAGTGAGTTGCATAAAGTACATGATTTGAATTATGTTTATGTATATTAATACACACAAAAGTACTAATAAAAGGAAGATAATTCAACACACTTCAGCATTATAATTATGTATGAAGACAAAGGGAGGGTCAAAGAAATGGGGCCAAAGTACACAATGGGCTTAACTAGATCTCAGATTTTCTTTTTAAAAATATCTGAAACAAAAATTACAATAGTTCAATATTTAATAAATTTGAATGGGAGTATTAGGCCTTTTTTTATATTTCTTCTAGTCATTTGTATACCTAACTATTTCATTATAGTAAAAAGAAAGGAAACATGACCTGAATTTTATATGACACACTTCAGAAGTATGTAAATATAGGAATAAAATATCTAACCTCATGAAGATAAATCTTTATATTTCAATTAATTGCTGATATTTTGTACTAGTGATAGTCATAATACTCACCATTTGATGCCGTAAAATCAATAGCCACTGTGAAATTGATTTGCGTTCTAGAAGTAAATAAGAATCATTAATAATTAATCTCATAGAAAAGAGTTTGATTTCCACTTGTGTTATCAAATTTTTTAACATCATTAAATTTCCTAAATGTTATTATTAGCAGGGATATTCAGTAAACACTGGATAGCATCAGGACAGGCAGTTTTAGAAGGTAAAAATTGGGCAAGATATCTTTACAATCATACAACTGTAAAATAAGAAACAAAGTGTGAGGAATAAAAATAGCTCCTATTTGGGAACACAATAATTAAGTGAGGGGCTCATAATAAAGAAGTCAGTCAAACTGCAAATAATGATTTGCCAGTCTCCAATGTCAGCATTTATTATCAATTTGCTTTTAAAACCATTCTGTAGTCATTGTTGAATCATTATACCCTTAGAAGTGTGGCAGAGCTAAAATCATCTCTAATCATATCATTCCTTAAACTAATTCTTTTCACAACACTGAACACACAAGATTTTCTTCTGCTTTCTTCAGAAATGCAGTACTTCAGATACTAATCTATCCCTCAGTACTCACAGCATTCCTGTGTGTGTGAATTTATAGACATAGATAAATATATATATAGCTGATGTTGGTTATATATAATATAAATTTTCAGCACATGGTAGTTACCCCAAATTATTTTACTGGGTTAGTTCTTTTATCTTCTTTTTTATTTTCTGATAGAAACCAAAGAGGTGGTATTTGCATAAAAAATTCACTCCTTTGGATACATCTCCGACTCCTATATGTAATTCTACCTCTTTCTTACAAAAGAAGGCAAAAAAACAAAAATAAGCAACAATGATATGATTACTGGGATAACCTGCAATCACACCTAATTTTAAAAAAAATTTAAAAAGTAAGTCATTTGAAAACATGAGTACTATAAATCACCTTATTTTTAGAAACATTACTTTTGGCACATTGCACAACTTATTTCACACTTCAAAGTTTGGAACTGCTGTTTTTTTTTTTTTTAAGATTTTATTTATTTGACAGAGAGAAACACAGCGAAAGAGGAAACACAAGCAGGGGGAGTGGGAGAGGGAGAAGCAGGCTTCCTGCCGAGCAGGGAGCCCGATGCGGGGCTCCATGCGGGGCTCAATGTGGGGCTCGATCCCAGGACCCTGGGATCATGACCTGAGCTGAAGGCAGAGGCTTAACGACTGAGCCACCCAGGCACCCCTGGAACTGCTGTTTAAATGGTGGTGTTGATGATGATGATGACGATGATGGGTATTACGGCATAGGGTCCCTTATAGTTTTCTTAGTATAAATTATAGTAATATTTCCTTCTTTTTCTAAAAATTCAGTTTTAAAATCCCTAAATACTACTCAGGTATTAAAACAAATTCACACATTGTTTTTTTTCCTAAGGAATGAACAACTGTTTGTGCTTTACATTTAATAAAAACTAACATAGATTCTCTTTATAGCTATAAGGTAATTTTTTTCCTCACAGGAGAAATTAGGTTTATAGGCTAAGAATATAGGCTAATTTGGATACCACTAACCAGTATGAACCAAAAGGAGTTAAAAACTTTTAGAAAAAGAATATAATGAGACATTTGGGAGAACATTTTGAGGTAATACGTCCCTTTGAGGAATTGAAAAGAACAGTCACCATCAGCACATTGCTTCGTCATTCTACTGCTAGGGAAAGAAGTGACTGTAATACAGGGTGGTAAGATGTATCAGAAAGGGTACAGCTTTTGAGTCTGAAAAAAAGGGTTTGAATTACAGCAACTCAGTTGCTGACATTAGCCAAGTTTCAAAATTCTCAGAGGTCAGGTGCCTGGCACACAACAATAACAAGAACTAACAGAAAAACTAAATGAAATATTATATCTATATATATTTATATATGTGTATATATGTAACACATTATATATATTATGTATAAGCATATAAAACGTGCTTTTACATAGCTTTTATCAACTAACTTCATAATTTTTTAAAGATACTATTATTCTCCTTTTATAGACAATGAAAACTATGCTCACAAAACTTAATGTGTAATAAATGCCAGTACTGAAATTTGAATTCACATCAAACCTCAAAGACCATATTCATAAACTCCATACTACTCTATTTCTACTATTAAATATTTGTAAACTGCTTGACTGTAATAACATAATAAAAGATAGTAATTATTATGTCACAAACATAAAAATGATACTATGCAAATATCCTTAATGATAAGAATGCCAGGGCACATTCTTCTGCTTGGGCAAATTAGCCCTTGTATCAAGTGTGTTGTTAAATATATAAATCACAAAATTATCAGTACAAATGCCTTCTTATGTTACTTTTTCCAAATGACACCTCTTTAGAAATGAAAACTCTAAGCTGCAAGAACGTATGTTTTAGCACATTATAAAGGTCAATTTAGGAATTGAGTCTTCGGTTTGATCTCCCTTAGGTTGTAGGAATAGATACCTTGTCTTGAGTCAACTGTCTCTTGCAACAGGGTCTGCAAAATGCTTTGCCAATATTGGAACCTCACTGTATTTATTGGGTGAATGAATGCATTCAATTTATGATTGCTTCTAATATGTTCTCCAGGACAGCCCAAGATGGGTAGCATAACCACCAACTTCTTAGAAGCATTAGTTGCAGGTAAAAAATTTCAATAATCAGAGATACAATGGTCCTTTCAGAGCCAAAGTTCTGCCTAGCAAAACTATGAGGAAAAGGCATGGCTACCAACTAAAGAACTATACTGTACATAAGAATAAAGAAGAGGGGCGCCTGGGTGGCTCAGTCGTTAAGCGTCTGCCTTTGGCTCAGGTCATGATCCCACGGTCCTGGGATCGAGCCCTGCATCGGGCTCCCTGCTGCGTGGGAGGCCTGCTTCTCCCTCTCCCACTCCCCCTGCTTGTGTTCCCTCTCTCGCTGTTGCTCTCTCTGCGTCAAATAAATAAAATCTTTTTTTAAAAAAAAAAAGGATAAAAAAGAGGAGATATACATTATTAAACTGCCTTACTGAAGCCTCTAGCTAACAAAATTGTCTAGCTAGCTAAATAAGCTAAATTACAAAACCAAGCAGATTAGGTACCAAAAAATAATGAAGTGTTAAAAAGAAAAGAAAATTTTAAAAAAGGAAGAAAAGAAGGAAGTAGAAAAGAAAGGGGGAGCCTCTTAACCACACCATTTGGGTTTTTCCATTTAAAAAATTACAATTCAACATTTATAGAGCATCTTCTGATTGCCAGGCACTGTGTTAAGAAAATAGGAGCGCACCAAAACTATCCTTGAACCTCTAGAGCTTACAGTTCCAGCTTTCTACTATTAAAAGCAATGACAAAAAACAGTACAGTGGTTTATCATTGAATTCACAATCAATAGTGTAACTTAAAACTCAACTGTGCACTTACTGTGGGTAACAGCTTATTCATTCCCATGATTCCCAAGTTTCCATTCATATTATAATGTATACTTGCTATACCAAGCATCACATTCTACGTTATTTTGAAAACATTAACAAATATGTTTTGTTTTTTTTTTAGAGAGAGAGTGCACCTGTGCACAGCAGGGGCAGGAGTGGGGTGGGGCAGAGAATCTTAAGCAGGGTCCACGCCCAGTGCAGAGCCCCACATAGGGCTGATCTCACAACCCTGAGATCAGGACCTGAGCCAAAATCAAGAGTCAGTGCTTAACCAACTGAGCAATCTAGACGCCCCACTAATAAAAGTTTTAAAGAAAGTTGCTAGCAATACTATAACTTTAGGCTATTAAGACAGATTTCTTGTAGACTTTGATAAATGATTTGTGTCATAGAAGTAAACCAAACAAAACATCTTCATCGGTAATCCTATTACCCTTTTTTATTCTTCAATATTGCATGAAGGCTAATGTTAGAAGAAAAAAATCAATCACTCATCAAAGTAAAAAATCTGAATTCACACAAGATGACTCCTGGCAGAATATTCATAAAATGATCACATATAAATCCTTGAAACATTCTGCTTAGGAAGTGTTAGTTTAGTTGTCATTTTGCATTTTAGAAGCAGACAAGAAGGAACAGGATTTCAAGAAACCTAGATAGTAGTATTATACTTTAGAGTATAAAAAAGGGATGCCTGCCAAATTTCATGAGTTAATAGTAACAGCTCATAAGACTTCCTGATGCATATGTCCTAGTACTGCTAAAATATATACTTGGAAAATGTCCTTATTTTACTCCGCCACCTTTCCAAAAGCTGTAAATGACAAATCAGATGTCAAGATGGCAGATTTAACTAGCACAGCAAAGATCCGTAGAAAACAAGTTTATATGTGTATGTCAAAGAATACTACACATTCGCCTGTGTATCTGCACGCACGCGCACACACGTGCCCGCACACACACACACAGTAATGCCATCTTAGACAACTTTTCTGTGGTTGTCATTACGTATTTATTATTGAGAACTAACAACTGTGATGGGGGTGTGCAGAAGGACTGTTTTACTTTCTTCCCAATTTCAAATTCCGTTCAGCTGCACAAATTGAACATTATCAGTATGAAAGATGAACTGTCAGCCATCCTTCTTTAATCTTGACAAACTCAGGTTCAGATCCACTAGCTGTTGCAATTTAGAACCTCTAAATGAAACTGAGATGCCCACTTAGCTCTTTAAGATTCCTCTTATTCTTGCCACACTGGCACCAAGACTACGCTTCTTCCTCGATATACTGACATGCATTCTTGTTCTCACTTTGGTTCTGGAATCTACCCTGAATCCCTGGTTCACTTGCCTCAGGGACTATTATCCAGCCCAATTCTTCCTACCCCTAGCTCACCATGGGCTAAATCTTACACCCTTGCCTTTCTTACCTTTTCTCTTTTTCTTAAAGGTAGTTCACCTACCTAAATGACAATAAAGACAATTGCCTGATCCAAATTTCATTGCATCTTCAAAATTCCTGCTTCCCATGCTCATAAACTACTCACAGGTTTAACTGCCCTCAGCAAGTAAGATCTAGAATGACGGCAAGCTTTGAGATACACAAATGCAAATT